CGGGCCGCGGCCCGGGCCGGGGGGGCACCGCCACTGGGACGAGCCCCGCGCCCCGCTTCGGCTCCCTTCCCCTGCGCACCGTCGCACTCCGCTGGTATTCCAGGCCCAGACTCCCCAGGGCTCAGCTTCCACACTTGAAGATTTTCAGACCCGAGTTGGTTTTTCTGAACTTAAAAAATAATAATAATAACTTTTTGGAGTTATTCTCACAAAGAGAAAAGTTAGGGATGTGGGACGCGTGTATAAAGGAAAGAGTCCAGGTTGGCCGGCTCCTGCGTTGGCCATTTCTTGGACTTCATTACACTTGCCCTTATGTGTCACTAGGTCTGGACATGTCTCTCTGTGTGCCTGGGGACAGACCCTGTGCTGCGGGAATGCTGATAACTGAGGGACTGGCAACTGATTTGCAGGTTGAGTCGGAACGTCCTTGGTGGTTCCAGTTCATGCCTGTATCCCTGCCTCTCCTGCAAGGACAGCTATCCAGGGGCTTATTTGGAAAGTCCTTGTGGTTGTGTCAGCCAACTGCATTAGGACTCCAGTCCACCAGGCCTCCCTTTCTCTATAGGGAGGACTGTGGCATCTGGCAGGTCAGGGCCTGTACTTCTGGTATTCTTCTGTTGTCAAGCATGGAATGCCCAGGGGAGTCAGTTCTGTTACCTGCAGTGGGAATTATGGAGGTGCAGTCTTTCCTCTTTTCCATGTGTGGGCAGGCCCAAGGGTCTCTGTGGCTGACTTGTGCCCTTCTTGTCGAGGCATTACAGCACAGGCCCTGTTGATCTCTTCATACTGAGTGACACTTCCCCTCAAAGGATTGTGGGCCCAGTAGACTGGCACAGAGGGACTGTTCTACCACAGGGGTGCATTTTTGCGATTGGCAGGCAGAAATAGGATTGAGATAGAACTGATGGAAAAAGGCTCATGGAACTGACAGGCCTAGGGGATTTGGGCTGAACTGTCAGTGGCTCCCAGGTGCTGTGGGCTGCTCTTCTGAAGCTGTCAGGGGCTCAAGAGTCAAGTGGAGTTTGGGAGGTGCCTCGCTAGCTGATGCTGCTCCAGGCGGTCACGATTGTTGCTGATTTTACTCGCACCCTGTGGTTGACTGAGCCTGTAATTGTGTCTTCTCAGGTCTGATCGATGACTACAAAAACCTTCACAGCAGTGCCCCTGCCCCAGGCGCCTCAGCTGCTTCCCGGTGGCAGCCGTCTACTTACCACAACGGCAGGGCCTTTAGTGCTCGCTACCCTCGTCCGAGCCGGAGGGGCTTTTCTTCACACCGTGGGCCTGCGTGGCGCAAGAAATACTCCCTGGTGAATCGACCCCCAGGATCCTCAGACCCACCTGGCGACCATGCTGTACAGCCACCCCTTGGGGCCAGGGGCAGCCAGAGTCCTGACTCCCAGCAGTTTGTCCTTGAGAGACAGGTCCAGCTCAATCCAGATCAGAACATGGTCATCAAAATTAAACCGCCATCAAAGTCTGGCTCCATTAGCACTTCAGGGGCCCAGCGGTGCTCTTTGCAAGAATATGAAGACACCCCCTGGAATGACCAAAGACCCCAAGAAGGCGAGGGTGAGCCCCCTGGTGGGCAGCTGCAGCCCTTGAGGACAGGAAGAACCAGGGGGAGCTGCAGTGCAGAGGACTCCCTTTTGGTCTGCCAGAAGGAGGCTGGCAAGCCCCGGGTGGTGAAGTCTGTGGGCAGTGTGGGCAGCAGCCCCCTGGAGCCCCGGCGGACGGTCAGTGAGAGTGCAGTTGCCGCCAAGGCACACTTCCCGTCCTCCACCCTATCCCCGCTCACTGTCGTGGCTGTGGGCCAGAAGGTGGGCTCTCATTCTGTGGCCAGCTGTGCTGCACGGCTCCTTGAGGATGGGAGAGTGAATGCCACTCATCCAGATCAGCCAGGTACCTCTAGCTCAGCAGTGGGCCCGGCCAGACCAGCCTCAGGACCCAGGCAGGCCCAGGAGACCTCGATGCTTGTGTCCTGTCAAACCAACAGGTTCCAGAAAAACAACTACAAATGGGTAGCCACCTCAGCAAAGAGCCCCCGGGCCGCTCGGCGGTCCCTCAATCCCAGAGCGGCTACAGAGAATGTGTGCAAGGCCCTCTTCGATGCCACAGGAAAGATGGAGAGGCCACAGCTCAGAGCTGATCCGGAGGCCAAGCCCAGGAAGCAGGCCCCATCCTCCAAACCTGGGCCCTCACCCAGCAAGTACAAGTGGAAGGCCTCCAGCCCCTCTGCCTCCTCCTCTTCCTCCTTCCGTTGGCAGTCAGAGGCTGGCAGCAAGGACCATGCCTCCCAGCTCTCCCCAGTCCCATCTAGGTCACCCCCAGGGGACACACCAGCAGTGGGACCCAGTGGCTTGAAGCCTCTCTTTGGTGAGACTCCGCTCTCAGCTTACAAAGTGAAGAGCCGCACCAAGATCGTGCGGAGGCGGGGGAGTACCAGGTACAGTCTCCACCCTGCCTCTGCCACCGCTGCATCCTGTCTGGACAGGCAGGGCTGGGTGTGGGCCAGCAAGTCCTTCTGGCCTCTGAGTGGTGGGATTTGGGGTGGTTGAGTCATCTCTTTGAGTCTTGCTCCCTCCTTGGTCCGCAGAGCAGATGGGAGGGCCCACCTCCAGGGGGTGCATGGAGGAGGTGAAGACTCGTGGTGGGTGTACGAGCATGGCTTCATGTCAGCCTGGGCAGGGGCTTTGTGCTTGCTGCAGCTGCTTATTTCCACTGAGGGATGAGGCAGGGCATGCTATCCCCTTTAGAGCCACATGAAATGAGGCTCCGGGTGGTTCAGGGGCTTGCCTGGGCCCCAGCTGGGCAAGGGCAGAGGACATGTGCCAGCCAGCCCACCCTTTCTTCTTTGGTGAGAGACCAAAACGTCTCTGGGGACAACTTCCGTCCTAGGTCCACAGCATTCACAGACGGGTGGCTCTGTGCCAGGCTGGGCACCAGGGAGCAGCCACCATGGACCTGCTCCCCGTGTGGCGTCTGCCCCTGGCCTGCAGCTGTAGGCCATGCGTCTGGGCTGGGAGGTAGACTGGAGCCTGGTCTTCCCTGCTCTGCCCTCAGGCCCAGGGATTTGGGTCCAGGAGGCCTGGCCTTTGTAGGGTGCCTCACCCAGGCCCAAGTTGAGGTTTGCTCTGGATAGGCTGTAGTAGGCGGCCTGGGTTGGGGCTGGTGGGCCCCAGCTTCCCAGGCTTTCCCAGCTGTTGTGACCTTTGCCCCCAGAAGGAGCAGGTTGGTATTACGTTCCAGCCACCCCCTTGGTGGCCAGATGACCAGGCTAGGTCACTCCCTTGCAGAGTGTGCATCACTTCCCCAGCTCTCCACCCTTGTGGAGTATGATGTGACTTAAAGATGGTGCCATAGCCCAGAGGGCTTGGTCTGGGGTCAGGGACTTCATTGGGTCAGCAGCTGGCGGCAAGGGTGGCGGCTGCGCTTGCTGGGCAGTGGGCAAAGGTCCTGCCTCTGCCAGTGCACATGGTGGCATGTGCCATCCCATAAGGTATCCCTGTGCTGACAGTCCCCCCAGGAGGTTCTTCCCACCATCTGACCTTAGTCTTTGGCTCTGGTTAGGCTTGTCACCTCCCAGCTCCCTTTCCTCACTGCTTCTGGATGGTGGCTTTGCTCTCCATCCTGCTGTTGTCTTCTCTTGTGGCAGGGAGCGTGAGAGGAGCCGTGAGAAGAAAGCCTTTGTCTTTCTCTGTTACCCCCCCTCCCCTAGCCCCTATTGGGGCTCATCTGGCCTGGAGACATGGGGAGGGAGCTGGACACACTGGGTGGGGGTCAAGGGCTGAGGCCCCCTCCTCTGCTCTCCCTGGGAGCACAGCAGCCTGCCCTGGCTCTGAAACTCTCTGGGTTTGTGGATCCTCAGCCTGACTGCAGAGGAGAGGGGGAGGGGAGGGGAGGGGAGGGGAGGAACAGCTGTCAGGTGGATGCTGCCTTTGATGGTGGAGAAGACAAGGCCTCGGAAGGGTGGGTGGGCAGAGTGGCCTGGAGAGCCTGTTGGGAGCTGCCTGCCTTCTGTCTCTGCAGCCTTCCTGGGGACAAGAAGAGCAGCCCCTCACCTGTCACCACTGCCAAGAGCCACCTCAGCCTCCGGCGCAGACAAGCCATCCGGGGGAAGAGCAGCCCTGTTCTGAAGAAGACTCCCAACAAGGGCCTGATGCAGGTGACCAGGCACCGGCTGTGCCGCCTGCCACCAAGCCGGGTTCACCTCCCTACCAAGGAAGGTATGCCCGGGAGCAGCAGCGGCTGGGCTCAGGCCTGGGAACTAGCTGCGAGTGCACCCTCCCTGACTGCCTCCTGTCGTTCCCCTTTGAGCACCTGGGACACGTGTGGGTGATGGGGTCCTAGGCTGGGGGTGTGAGATCTGGAGAAGATGGGATATTTGAGGATGAGTAGGCTTGGAACTGGGCATCTTGACTGGGAACTGGTGCTCGTGACCACGGTGCTGTGCATGGCGTGTGGGGAACCTGACTGGGGGCAATGTCCTTGGCTGGGCAGAGCTCAGAGCCTTGAGGCAAGGGTGGCTGGCCGTGGGAGGGTGGGCACGGATCCCAGGCAGGGGCCTGAGGGGGGCCGTGCAGCTGGGGTGGGACTAGAAGGGGACAAGAAATGAGGCTGGAAGATGCTGGCTGCCCAGCCATTCCATGAGCCATGGCAAGTGTGGGCTTTGTCCCAGTGTGACAGGGAGCAAGGGGAACACCATGGGGGTCCTTGGTGGCCACAGCCGGGTGGCTCGATGGGCTGTAGAACTGGCTGGAAGTGGAGAAGAGGGGTGGCTTGGACAGTGGGCAGGTGCCCTGTGGCCTCTTGGGGATGCTGGTGGCGGGTGGCCGAGCCCCCAAGGAGGTGGAGGATCTGCGGGTACTGTGGCCAGGAGGGGTGGGAGGAAGTGCTGGGGAGTCCTCACTGGGAGTTGCAGCCTGCAGGGTCACCCCTGCTTGCTCGTGCTTATTACCGGCCATTCCCTCTTTAGGCCTAGAGCAGAGTGGAGTGCAGGCTGCGACAGCAGGGGTTGTGCCCCCCCAAGCCCACAGTGAGGAGACAGGCAGTGAGGAGTGTGGGATTTGGAGGTCAGGGCCTTGGGCCAGGCACCGTGGGGAGCTGAGGGGCTGCCACAGGTACTGCCTTTGTTAGATGGAGACATGAATAACCTCATACTTATAGACAGACATGATGACTGCACACAAGATGGGGGAGGAGAGGAGGGGGGGTCCTGTTACGGGAGGGGCTTGGGGGAAGCTCCCCACTCAGGTCCACCCAAGAGCACATGCGGAACACCTTGTGCTGGCTCCTGGGGATGCTGCAGTGAGAGTCCACGGGTGCTGGGGCAGACAGCTGGAAAGATGTTTTGGTGGTAAATGTGGCCCAAGGAAGGGGGAGCGGGACTGTGCTGTGGGAGCTGTGGGGAGGGTGGTCAGCGTTAGCCAGGCAGTTGGGAGGTCTTCTCCGAGTAGGTGACCCAGGTGAGGAGAGGAGCAAAGCGTTCAGCTCTGCAGGCTGAGGCGAGCTGGGGTGAGCCAGCTGTGTTCAGGAGCAGGAGGCCCGCAAGGCTGGTGTGCTGTCTGGGAATGGAGGAGTGGGATGGGAGGAGGCCAGAGGGGGAGGAGGGCCAGCTCATGAGGAAGGGTCTTGCAGGCCAAATAAGGTTCTGGTTCCGTTGGGAAGCCCGGGAGGGACAGAGGAGGGACTGGGCACATGTGTTACTGTGTCTGGGCCATGAGGTGGCAGTCAGGTGCTGGGAGTGTCCAGCAGGCCTGGAGCAGGCAGGGAGTCAGGAGGGCCTGCGTATGAGGCCTTGAATGCCAGGCCAAAGAGAGGCTCCTCATGTGGGCAGGGAGCCCCAGAGACAGCTATCATGAGACCCCAGGCGAGCAGAGGCAGTCGTGGTGGGCTGGCCTCAGGAGATGGGAAGGAGGACAAGCACATCCCTGGGCTGGGCTGGAGCCTGAGAAATTGGCGTGTAGCTCCCCAAGTCTCCTTCCTGTCAGTCATGCCATCTGCCCACCTCTCTGCCTGCCGGTCCCAAGGCTGCCTTGGGTCCCTGTGCAGGGCCTGCCTGGCTGCCTGGCACAGGCCTTCATTTAGTGCTGTGGATTTCTTAGTGCATGAGAGATCCCTTCTGGGGCTCTCATTTGTCCCTGGGCTGCTGGGGGTGTTGCTACATAACCGAGGTTGTGCTCTCCTGCCTCCAGGAAGGTGCAGACCCTGGGCTAGTGTAACCAACAGAAGGTAGGGTCAGTGGTCAGGGGCTGCCCCTTCCTCTGGCTGCTTGGAGTCCTCCCTTTCCCTATTTTCCTCCCAGCAAATGTTTAGCCCCAGCTCCAGCTCCCCGGAGGCAGCAGTACCCAGATGTCCAAAGAGGGATCTGACCGCCTGTGGGCTGCTGCGTGGGGGAGAGAGGGTTCTGGAAACTGCCTGGTGGCCCAGCCTGAAATCCTGACTTCAGTCCTGCCCTGCAGCTGGTGGCCAGCAGAGGGCGCGCTTGCTCCTTTTATCCCTGTAGTCCACCTTTTTTTAGGTAATTGATTGCCTAATTTCCTCTTTATGTGAAAGAAAGCAGATATCAAGTAATTTGCAGCAATAACCTGCTAATACCGGGCCAGTATCGAAACTCCCCTGTTCATTTCGAGTGGCAGATAAAACACTAATACATAATTATCCTTGCAAATTGGATTGTTTTAAATAACCAAAAGGCTACGGCCAGGAGAAAGAGATCTCATCTCCCTTGAGTTAGTATTGCAGCGTAATTGCCGCGTTCAATCAATTTCTCTGGCATTAGAAATTCCATCACAATCAACATTAAGCTTTATTCATTGTGATGGCTAAGAGCCGGGCCATTTCTCCTCTTTTTCTTAACTGGCAAAATTAATCAGGGAAAAGATTTTAAACATTTACCCCTGCGAAAGAGGTCAGCTCTGCCACTATATTGCTCAGCAGATAAGGGGGCTAATAAAAAGAAAATTGAATTACTAATGATCACCAGGAACAGAGTATATAAAACCTGGCAATCGCCAGTTCAGGAAAAGGGAGAATCAATTTTCTTGGGACAAGGTGTGCTCATTTTTTATTTTGGCGCATATTATCAGCAATTTAATTTGAGAGCGCATAAACAGGAGGAAACAGTTAGGGAATAATGAGCCTGGAGGTGTGAAGTGCCTCAGGATATGTGCTGTACACAATTTATTTGGCACCACAGATAATCGCTTTAATTGAATTCAGAACTGCATTGTTCAGCAGCAGTGTGGCCGCTCATGCCTGGGGACTGAGAATGTTAGGAAGGTTCCAGCCCTCCCTCCCTGCCACCCTGCCCGCCCAGCCTCCGGAGAGTTCTCTGTGGCTTGGAGTCAGACTTTGGCTGGGGTTGGGGCAGGGTGCTCTGGGGGGTCTCCCTCTGCTGTCATTGTGCCTCTTGCCTTCTGTCTCTCCCTTCCCTTTCCTCCTGGGGAAGGGCCCATTGGCAGCTGGGGCACCCTCCAGAAGGATCCCTGAGGGTCTGGGGGAGCCGCATTTGCTGGATGCTGAAGCAGAGACCCAGCTTGATCTGTCTGCAGCAGACAAACCCTGAAGGTATCTGGGCAGAGAGATGGAAACTTTTAGGGATCTCAGAAATGGTGTGTGACTTGCCACCCGTGTAATTGTGGCAATTAGAAATCACCGTGTGCAGTGTTTACAGTATGCACTGCTGATGGCTACACATCACTGCGCTCTCGCTTGGTGTGCGGGTGTGTGTGTGGCGGGGGGGGTGCTGCAGGGTTCAGGGTCCGCTCCAGAGCCCATCCTCCTCTGGCCATGACCTGGGCCCAGTGCTGTGGCTCAGCCAACTGAGGTGATAGGCTTGAGACTGCTGAGCCTGGCTGGCTGTGTGCAGGGGGGTACTTTCCCTCATGCACCCGGGCTGGGGGGAGCATGGGCCAGGTATCCTCTAGTCACTTTATGCCCCAGGCTGGGAAGCTTCTTGGTGGCAGTAAGTCATGGGAGTCCTACCAGTTACTTGGAAACGTCTGCTGTTGTGGAGCAAGGAAAAGTCGTGGCGGGCAGGTGGGTGGTGCTCCCTGGGTGCTGGGTTCCACCCTCTTGGGACCTGAAGGCAGCCTCCCAGACCCGTGGGGGTCCTTTCGGCATCACCTTCTCGGCCGCCTTGGGAAGGGGCAGTTCACCAAAGGTCTGGACAGATCTGCACCCTTCTCCCAGCCATGTCTTTGTGCTCCATGTGTTCATGGAGGCTCAGGGACTCACTGTGCAGGTATCAGCGTGGGAGTATGCTGGCCCCTGGCTTGTCTGCCCCAGCAGCCCCCCTGCTGCCATGCATTAGAGCCAACCGCTTCCCCTCCTGTGGGTTCCCGGTGCACTGAATGACCCAAACCCCAGCCACCTGGCCAGGCCCCGCCCATGCACCTGCCTGCATTTGCACGGCATTCTTCCCCATTCACCCACCCCTGCCTTTCCCTCAGATGTATGTGGCTTGCCCCTGCATTCGGGTGTCTGCTGGGTGCCCTGTGGTCAGCTTTCTCTGCCCATCTCCTCTCAGATCGCTTCCTGGCCACCCCTGCCACCTTGGGCATTCTCTCCTCCTGCGTGTTTACTGTCTGTGCTGTCACTTGGGAGGCACTGCAGGCGAGCACTCTGTCCCACTCACTAGAGCCTGGCACATACACTGAGGCCTGTGAGGCTCCCACAGCTGCTGGTCCAGGGCAGAGGGAGCCTCTCTCTGTCACAGGGGCCCATAACAGCAGGAGACTGGCAAGGCTGTGCTGGGCAGGGTGGCTGGCAGGTGGAGACCCTATGGGAGGAGGGCCCTTAGGGGGCTCTGCTCCTGGTGGCCACCATGAGGGGGTGGGGTCTGGCACAGAGTTTTGCTGGGTGAGGGTCTGAAGGGTGCAGTTGTTTGCCCCTAATTCTGTCCCTGTGTGCATTAAAGCCAGTCCCTAGCCTCCCGCAGAGCTCCTGCTGGGTGAACAAGCTGGGAACCCCTGCCCCATCTGACCTCCCAGGCTGGGCAGGTCCCTGGCCGACAGGTGGACTGGAGGGTGTGCACCGTGGTGTGTGTGCATGAGGGCCTGTTGAGAGTGGCTGGTCTCCTGGGGACTGCAGGTCTTGAGGGGCCACGAGAAGCATTGTGCCTGCTCAGGTGCTGATCCTGCCCCCTGTGAGGTATGCTGGTGGGCAGGGCGACAGCCGCATGCAGGAGAGTCAGTGGGCAAAGGGGGCAGAGTGCCATTGCTAGCCTCATGCCCTGGGCCTCTATGGGGTGGCGTTTCCTCACCACCTGTGCTGGCTAAGGGTGTTGGGATGCTCAGGGGCAGAGGGGTCGCTACCTCACAGTGGCTGCCGGCTAGTTGTGGGTGCAGCTCTGCCCAAGTACACTCTCGGTTCCAGGCTGCTGGGTAGGCCCTCTCAGAGGCTGCTGTGGGTGGAATGTGGGCATCGCTCAGTGCCAGATGCCTGGCATAGGGCCTCGCCGCAGAAGCCTGGCCCCACAGCCTTCGTCAGCACCAGCAGCTTTCTCCTCCTGAGCTGGCCCAAGGCACAGGTCCTAGCCTCGTGGGGACCTGGAGAGTTGCAGTCAGGGACCCAGGATGCTTCTCCCTGCCCATGCACAGGGACAGGTGGCAGTCCTCACCCCAGTCCCAGCTGAGGAGGCGGACACGGTGGGGGGGTGGGGGAACGACATGCACCCAGGGCCCCAGGTGCCAGCTCAGGGTGGGTGCCCAGGACAGGCTTGCTGTGTCTCAGCAGGGGAGATCCAGAGCCAGAAGAGCTGGGGGACTCCTGTGGCCCCAGCACTGGTGAGAGGCTGAGCTGGGTGCCCCGTTCTCTCCTGCTGGGTGCTGGGGGTCAGCTCTGCATCTGGTGCTGAAGTCCTGGAACTTTGCTTAGACACCCAGAAGCATCATGGTTGTGAGCCTCGCTGGGAGACTTTGGGCTACTTGCACTCTACGCTGGGGGCCGTTTCTATGTCTGCATATGGGGTCAGGGTCATCTCTCCCCAGGGGGCTGCTGTGCTCATTGAAGGAGTGGAGACTTCAGGTGCCTCAGGCCAGCCTGGTGTTCCTGCCCTGCCGTGCTGGTGGCAGCATCGCCCACCTGCAGGGGCCTGCCCACCGCCTCTGGGGTCTGC